GTTATGCAAATCTTCCCACACAGTGACGTAGATATGTGGGGGCGTGTTTAAATGAGGCGTTTTTGGAGGGCGTGGACAAGACTTAACTTTTAGAAAGAATATCTCTTTGGGTTTGAGACTTTAGTCTTTGCAACTTTAGGGATCTGATCTATTCACGAACAGCTTGTAACATTCCAAAGAGAAAGGAAAATTTGAAATCGCATCTTATGACCCCTTTAAAAATGAGCCTCTAACACTAGCATTCCCTATTCTTTTTCTATTCTATCTACTTGTTTTCTTTTTGTTTATTCTAAAAACAAAACAAGCAAAAACAAACAAAAAAAAAACCTTGCTACATATACGTTACGTATGCTACGTTAGTCGAAACCCCGCCCCCCACTGTCCTCTTTTTGGAAAACTAAAATATGGGCACCCTATTGAGAGTGCCATCTCTGGCATCTCTGGCTCATGTTCTCTGCTGTATCTATATTTTTTCTGTTTTTCCACTGTTTATGTCTCTTTAGGCTTTTGTGAACAAAGCTCACTTTTTTGTGGTGAAGGAATATGTCTCTCAGCTGATGAAGAATAACTACTCATGCAAAAACAGGAAGAATGAGACAGCTGCCACTAAGATAACAAATCAGTGGGAGGAACTGAAGGAGATTTTCCAAGATATGGTACAGTACAATCTCCATAATGCAACTCTGTACAGCTGTGCTTTTCATCAGAACATCCTAATATATTCCTTACCATATTATTTTCTGTAGAACTCAACCTTAGATTGGCTCCATCCAGTCGGGAACCAGCTGAGCATGATCATTGGGTGCAAAAAAAGTGATGTAAAACAACATTTACAACCATTAGTTAATAACTATCCAGACATCAGGTGAGAGTCATATTACTTGCTGTAGATTTACAATGTCTGTTAATTTAACATTGTTCATTTTACTCTAATTTAAAGTTTTACCCATTTCAGGAAGAGTCATCTCTCAGCTGTGCTGTACTTCCGGGGAATTATAAGAGGCAGGGAAAAGCATACTATACTACAGCGGCTGGCAGAGCTGAAACAGAGCTCTGGGAATACAGGGAATAAAGAGCAGGCTCTCTTTAGTGAGATTCAAGCAGCAGTTAACACAGACTGCATGGCTGGTACACCCTTCTCCTGTTTGTCCTTCATTGTGCCAGACAGCTAATGCACTTCATTTGATTTGAAGTGGACAAAATCATTGTTTGAAAGCGACCATATGTCTAATTCAAAGTATGAGCAATACTAATATATTATGAGCAATAAGGAATGTTCTCATGCCTCTTGTGAATCCTTCATGGTCTTGAAACATTGTTGCTTTTTTGGAGAAAATAGATGAGGCAAAGAGGGGGCTAAAATGTTTTTAGTATGTTGTGATCATACTTATGCCATTTGTTAATGTTATTAGTAAATAATGATAAAATACTACTAGGCCTTGATAATGTGATATTTCTAGATGCCACATTCTAGTCAAAAATGCATGCTGGTTTCAGTAATCCTCTACAAACAGCTATAAGCTCACATTCAGGTCATGTTAAATTGATGTCTTTCTGATTGTCTTCACTCAGAAATGACTTCTTACAGAAATACAAATAAGTTGTAAAAGTTGAGAACCTTATCAAAACATCTTTTGTACACCACCAGAGGTCTCTATAACACTGCAGGCTGATGTTGTGTCAAAAGCCCCTGATCTTTTTAAAGATGGAACATGTTTCACTTACCAAATAAAATATGTTTTCATTTGTTCTCCAAGTATTAGGCTACAGATGATGAAAAGCAGTCTGCACCGCTTACCTTACAGGGCGACAAAACTCATAACACTTTAAAAGAGACATACTTGTAGATGTTTGTGAAAGATGTTTTCTCTGTTTTGGAGGGATGAGCACTTTTAAATTATACCATATTTATTGTATCAAAATTTGTTAATACTTTAATATATAGTCCTAGGTTAGGGGTGGATAATTTTACCAGTTTACTATTCATGCAACAATACAAATTACTGTTATAGTTTTCATTAATAACCATTGCTATAGGCTATATGATAACTCTGTCTAATGCGCTTATGAATGTTTTTACCATAACATGTGAAAATGTAACTACTATACTAAATAAAATAGATTTCTTCATGGCCAGTGTTTGCATAGGCCTATCTCATTTCCTTATGTAACCTACTTGTTCTCTGGATTTGTGTACTAGTGTTAAATGCTGCTGTTTGTAATAGCATTGATAATGTTTCTGACAGATAATACCATGTTTTGTTTTGTTTTTGTTTTTTGAGTTTGCCTTACCGAATATCCTGTCCGCAATAACCTGTCCGTGGGCTTTTTTGATTACTGTCAGTAATGTGGCGATGCAGTGTTGCCAGATTTTCCTATGAAAACAAAATAAAAACTGAAAAAATAAATAAAGAATAAACAGAAATTAGTTCAAATCTTTTGTAAATAAGATAAAATAAAGATATTGCCAACCCTAAAATGCAATGTCCCACTTTATTAACTTTCTAAAGCAGTGTTCCTCAATAGGCGCCCTCGGGCCACATCCCGTGTGAGCCTGTTTACAAATGTGTCAAACAAAAAGAACATTTAATGACATGTTTTAGCCCAAATCACTTAATAACATAAGTTGAGTGTTTGAAATAACTACTCTCTGTGGTCTGACATGGTTTCATATCACAGGAGGCAGAAACCATGCTATCTATAGTATTCTATACAGTTGATAGAAGGCTAAATCGATTAACACTGCATTATAAATATACTTTATTTTTTTATAAAAATACCTCAGATGGCTTGAAAGGTCAGTGAGATGCGAATTGAGGTCGCAATCGTATGTTTATTGCATTGATGTTTCATCAGGTATTTACAAATCACACCCTAAACCCTGAAATTAAAGGTGCAATAGGTGATTGTCTTCAGAAAATGTTTTTGTTATGCTGGTTGAAAGTCTCTTCACATCCCGATAGCAATCATTAAAGGGGTCATATGATGCTTTTTTTAAAGGTCATTATTTGTGTATTTGGTGTAACAGAATATGTTGACATGCTTTAATGTTCAAAAAACACATTATTTTTCAAATACTGTACATTATTGTAGGTCCTCTATGCCCCGCCTCTCTCAAACGCTTCGTTTTCTACAAAGTCCCGCCTTCCGACAAGCGCAGTCTGCTCTGATTGGCCAGCTAACCCAGTGCATTGTGATTGGCCGAAAAATGTTCGTCCAATCAAAACGCTCGGTCCGAGCGTTTTAATTGGCTTTCCTACCTGCCTGTCAACATATGTATTTGCATACCTCTGCGCACCCTGTTCGCGTAGACAGGATACGTCATCAGCGCGTTCACGCACGCTGTGCAGACAGAGCGAGAATGGCAGACAAACATCAACAACCCGATCTACTTTCCTGGTATTGCAGTACATTTAAAGTTTTCTCACCGGTGAATGACACATGATGTAGCCCAACGCGGTTCCCAATTCCAGTCCTCGCGCCTCCCCACTCTGCATATTTTGCATGTCTCACTTAGTTAACACACCCGATTCAGATAACCAGCTCGTTAGAAGTGAGCTATGTGCATGAACTGTGTTCCGATTGACATGCTCCCTACACAGTGTTCTTGGCTCCCTACTCCCTGAGCAGGGGAAATCCGTGTTTACTTCACTTCGGAACATTCCTTCACGGATTTGCCGCTGAACCGCGAGAAATGGAATTGGGAACCGCTGTAGCCTATTGTAGTAATGTTGTCTGGTATTCTGGTCTGTGAGCGTATGTGCGTTCAGGGGGCGTGGCTTTGGACAGCGATTGCAGGGAGGGTGGGGCGTTCGCTTTCAGTGCTATCAGGCTAAAGTTAGCATTTTCCGAGATCTCCTACTGCACCTTTAATCTATTCAACCTTCAACCATCCATCATTAAAAGGAAAATTTAAAGTGTAAACGCGCTGGCAAATGACTGCAACATACCACGAATAACCCCAAAAGCTTGATTATTTCCGCAGCAATGTTACAGACGTGTTTAATAGTAATATGTCTGGAGTAACATACGCTGCCTTTCTCAAAAATGTTCATTAACATTAACATCGAGTGATATTTCAAATATCACTGTTCCAAAACCTTTGCCATGGGTCTACAGAAGTTCATGTGAATCAGTTCACTTTAATTCTGAGGTCAGGAACTTTCCATCATATGTTTAGTCAAGTGATATCTACTTCCACTTTTCTATCATTAATGATTTTCACTAGTTAAGCATACATTCCTTCTTAGTATGATAGGCTCAGGGCTGGCAGACTGAATGTTGTTTATCAGATGCTTTTGATGATAAAGCATCATGTTGCTTGTGATTTGTTGTCCACACCCATCTGTAGTAGATTGAAATCTAGCAGGGCATGATAATATTTTAGTTTTATCATCTTTTCAACTGCTTACCCACAGTCTCATAAACATTAGATGAATAAAATCTCTGCACTCCTAAAAAGAAACAGACCCAAGAGACAAAAAACATTCTGATGTCACATTGGCGAACCCATAAACAACTTAAAGAAAAAAAAAGACACTATAATATTCTGATCTGAACAACCAAAAATAATATAAGCAACTTTTTAACTCCATAGAGCCATAAAGTGACCCCAAGAACATAACACAGCATACAATAATATGTGATATACCATATACTGTTGTGTGTGCACATGGATGGGTTAAATGCAGAGCACAAATTCCGAGTATGGGACAGCATACTTGGCCACATGTTCACTTTTCACTTTCATTCTGCTATCCTGAAACTACAGAAATAACCAAATGATGAAATATAGAAAAACACCAAGCAGTCGGTGTGTGGCTGGTTAGCATGGTTCCCCCTGCTGGCAGATGTGGTAACTACACACTCTGATTCTACAAAACATCTGCCTTTCAAAAGCAACCTTGTATTCTAATAAATTTTTTTTTCAAGAAATACATGTGTTGTAATATTTCATTGTATTATAGTAGATTTTTTACTCATTTTACTAATTTTACGGCTCTGCTGTTCCCATCTTTTGCCTTGATTTCACAGCTCAGGATAGTCCAGTGAAGGGATTTTCCTGTGGCTTAGTCGCATGGCATTTAGGTGACTGGCTCATCTATGCCTAATTCAACAAAAGCTCAGAAGGAATCTTTGGCAGGGCATTTGACCCCCAATATCTTGAATGCACTCTAATCTCTTCTCTGCTGGTTAAGTCGTAACTTCTAGTGGTTCAAGTGGTGCCTGGTCAAGTTGCTTCCTCTTTTAATATGCAGCAGGGCTCTTGTCTTTATCCATTTACAGTCTACACCAGATTACTGCCATGGTACCTGTCAAAAGTAAAGACAATCTGACCAGGGTCAAATTCATGTCACTGAAGGACAGGTGCATGTGATCTCTTATCAGATGTTTTTATCCAAAGTGATTTATGTGAGGGATCATTCAGTGAATGTTATTAAATTATGGGTAATTTTTTAAAAGGTAAATTACAGTAATATAGAGAAATATCAGTCATGACGTCTGTAAAAACCATAAATGTGTCCACATTGTGGGTATTTTCCCATATTGTGTAAGAATCAAGCATACATTTGAGAAAAAGACTATTTTGCGGTTAAATTATGAACTACCATTCTTTTTTTCCTTATTTCACTTTCTCAAACATTTCCTTAAATGTATTATAATTTAAATTTACAACACTATATATATATATATATATATATATATACATAAAGACAAGAGTCAGCTATATATAAAGGTAGATTTGTGTTCTGAGAACATATATGTCAGATTGGAGGAAGTTGTCACATGCATTTGATATGTAATTTTTCATTAATTTAAATTTTATGTTGGCCTAAACAATGTTTTGATGATATGTTTTACATATTAGAGCTTTTTCTTGAATGGTTTTGTGTTCCAATTTTTTTTTATTATTTCTCGTTTTTTACTGATATTTACTTTATATTTTTTATTTACATTTTGCTGAAGGTAATGGCAGGTTCCCATTATGACAACATGTAGCAAGTCTCCCCGCGGCCTGCATAAAAGAAAGTAGACGATAAAAAAAAAACTCATGAAAGTGAAAGTATTTTACCTGGCTCAGGTAAAATAAGCAGGATGCGTGGTAAAGGCTTCACAGTGTTTGAAGACACTCATTGAATATATTTCAGGTAAGAGCTTCACTACCCTGTTTTCTACTTTATTTCTTTAATTAAATTCAGTACATAATAATGGAGACATTTGATTAGAAAATCCTAAATTAGGCCATTAGTGGATCATGATATTGATTTCAGGTGAGATGATTTTAAGGACTTTCATGTTTAATTAAGCCAATTTTTTTTTCAATTGTAAAATATGTGTATGGTTTATTTTAACATAAAATTAACAAACATCTTGTATAGAGAAAGTTGCATTATCTTGCATTACCTACAACTTTCTAAACATTTGTAGAAAGAACTTCTGCTTTCAAAATTACTGGTTGTATTTTGTTGGGTTATTGATTTCGTAATATTTCATATGGTTTTGAGTTTCAAAATGAACATTGAACTAAATGCACTTGAACAAAATCAGGCATCATAATGTAGGCCTGCCTACATTAGGAATACTGTTCAAACATTATTTCAGTCCTCCATTAGTCTTATGTGATGTGTGCTGCAGTTTTGTTTACTAAGAAAATGTAAAAATTCTTATTATTAAACAAATGAAAGCATTTTTTAAATATTGTGATGAATAATTTTGTTATATATGTCTATATAACAGAGATGATGATGATGTAACAGTATTTGAGTTGGCAACAGCTGAAGATGACAAATCACATATTATTTTTATGGCTGTAGTTATTATAGAAATCCGGGTTATGATTACTCTTAAACTATTTATGTAGTAGGAAGATAACAG